AGAGAGAGAGAGGGAGAAGGCAACGGCATCCGGTCAGCCTGCTGTTCATCGACGGCGATGGCGATGGCGATGGCGATGGCGAATAGCGAATAGACGGAGGGACACCGCCAACCCACCTTTCCGCTCTCGAGCGCCTTGATGAGCTCCTCCTCGTCGACGACGCCGCCGCGCGCCGTGTTGACCAGGATGGCGCCGTCCTTCATCTGCCCAAACTGCTCCCGGCCAAAGCTCTTCTCCGTCTGCGGGTTGAGCGGCAGGTTGAGCGACACGACGTCGGCGCGCCGCAGCAGCTCGGCCTGCGACGACACGTACTCCCAGCTGGGCTGGGCGTTGGGGTTGCGGTTTCGGTTGTGGTAGAGGATCTTCATGTCAAAGGCCTCGGCGCGCCTCGCCAGCGCAGAGCCGATACCGCCCATGCCAATGATGCCCAGCACCTTGGTCTCGGGGTCGTGGGCGGGCTTGAGGCCCGACTTCCACTTGCCCTCGCGCGCGTTGCGCTCGGCGCGGTAGAACTGGCGCAGCGAGGAGAGCACCAGGAACATGGCAACGTCGGCCGTGGCGTCATCGACGGCCGACGGCGTGTGGCTCACGTGGATGCCGCGCTGCTTGGCCGCTGCGACATCAATCTGGTCGTAGCCCGCACCGTTGTGGCAGATGGACTTGAGCGACGCGGGCAGGTGCGCAATCAGGTCGGCGTCAAACACCCCGATCGAGCTTGCAGAGTCATTGTGGCGGTAGATGGCCGTGATGTTCGAGTAGCGCCCGCCCTCGGCGCAGTCCTTGTAGAATGCCTGGCGGTCGGCCGAGTCGAGTTGCTGCAAGAGGGGGGGCAAAGCCGCAGCAGGGGGGACATCGAAGCGAACCGGCCTCGGCTCAATGTCAGCTTGCCTGCCTAGCCTCGGGCGCTTCTGCGATTGGCGAGAGCCGTGCACTCACGAGAACCTCTGCGACGGCGCCAAGATCGTTCTTGAGCTCGTCGTGGGCGTGGACGATGGTGCCACAGATGAGGACCTGGGGCTTGGACATGGCGGGCGGCGTGTGCGGATGGGAAGTTTGGGGATTCGAGCTGGCGGAGTGCGGGCAGTGGCGATGTCGAGTAACGACGAAGAGATGCAGAAGAGAGGGGGTCGGGATTGCCCTTAGCGGACCGTCGTCGAGCGCTATTTAAGCAGCCACCTGCGACCAGGACCAGGCTGGGCAGGTGCGGCGCGGAGGAAGCGGGACCAAGGTCAAGCTCCTCTCTGGGTGGGACAGCGGAAGAAGTGCCGTCCACCAGCGCAGCTAGCGTGCGTCCAACCCGCGGGGAGAAGGCAGGCAGGTCAGACGAGGAAAGAGTCGTGGAGTGGGTCAGTGCACGCTCGCTCGCTCGCTGCCTCAAGCTTCGCCGCCCGGCCTGGCCTCTCCTCTCACAGCCAGAGGTGAGTGACGGTGACTGAGGGTGGGGTGAATGGGGGGCGGCGAGTGGAGCTTCTCGTCCCTCCCCGCGGTCAACCGGTGCGGCGGCCCCGGTCTCGCTGCAGTCGACCCGCACCGGCCAATTCGTCTGCGCTCAAGAACGCCGAGCGTAGAGCCCCGATTCGTCACAGATAGAATTGTCAAGTCCTGGCCTCCCGATTGTTAACTTTTTCTTTTCCCCGATCAGCACGCTGCACGTCCAGGCGGCTGGGAAGGCCAGCCTGGAACCAAAATTCGGGAGTCAGAGGATTTTCGGATTTTCCGACTTCGGGGCTGGCACGTGGCCGGCCCGGTCGAGAGCCGGTCGCTACCTCGCACCACCATCCTCGATCTCGACGTCGTCGATGTCCGCGCCGCCCTCCGATACCCCATGCGACGGGATTCACTGGTTCATCGCGTAGTAGTTTTCAGAATATAGAGAAGCTCTAGAACTATAACTCCTACATCATTCCGAAGGGCAGAGGCTGTCCCGCCTGGACGGTGATGCCCTTGATCTGCGTAAACTCGCGCAGACCGTCGACACCGCCGCCGAGACGTCCGTATCCGCTCTCTTTCCATCCGCCATGGGGCATATCGGGCGAGTCATGGACCGAATGCTGGTTGACGTGCACCTGTCCGGCGTCGATCTGTTTGGCGACGTCGAATGCGCGCGCCTGGTCCTTGCCGTAGACGGCGGCGGCGAGGCCCATGTCGGTGCCGTTGGCGAGGGCGAGGGCGTCGTCGAGCGAGTCGTAGGGGATCATGGAGAGGACCGGGCCAAAGGTCTCCTCGCGGAAGATGCGCATCGACGTGTCGACCTCGCCGAGGACGACGGGCTGGACGAGGGCGCCGTCAAAGGCGGGCTGGCCGGCGACGACCTTGGCTCCGTGGGAGATGGCGTCGTCGTAGAGGCCCTTTAGGCGCTCGCCCGAGGCCGGGTTGAAGAGGTTGCGGAGGGCGTGCGGGCTCTGGAGGTTCTGCTCTGGCTTGGCGGTGAAGATCTCCTTGTTGTCGGCCATGAGCTTTGCGACCTTTCGCTGGAGCTGGGCCTCGAGGTGCCTGGGGACGAGGATGTTGTTGACCGACATGCAGATCTGGTTGGTGTTGAGGAAACCGCCAAAGAGGATGTGGTTGGCGACAAGGTCGAGGTCGGCGTCGTCGAGGACGAGCATGGGCGCCTTGCCGCCGAGCTCGAGGACGACGGGCTTGATGTGCTTGGCGGCCGTCTGGGCAATGATGCGGCCGACGCGGGTGGAGCCGGTGAAGTTGACCTTGCGCACGGCGGGGTGGGCGATGATGGCCTCGGTGACCTCGGGGGCGTCCTTGGGGTCGACGTGGATGATGGACAGCACGCCCTCGGGCAGGCCAGCGTCGATGAGGGTCTGGGCGACCATGAGGCCGCAGCGCGGGGAGAACTCGGACGTCTTCATGACGGCCGTGTTTCCGGCGGCGATGGCCCACAGGACGGAGCGGAGGGCGAGGACGACGGGGGCGTTCCAGGGCGTGATGCCGAGGACGACGCCGTAGGGCTCGCGGAAGATGTACTTGCGCGAGCCGTCGCCGGCGTCGGGCAGCACCGTGGCCTGGAGCGCGGTCGACATGAGCGCGGCCGCCTCCTTGAGGTGGGCGATGGCGAGCACGGCGAGCTCGAAGCCGGCCATGCCCTTGGGGATGCACGTCTCCTGCACCGTCAGCGCCACGTACTGCGGGATGCGCTCCGAGAGCAGCTGGGCCGCCTTGTTGAGGATGTCGCGGCGCGCGCCGACGGGCGTCGCCTTCCACTTGGCAAACGCGGCGTGCGCCGAGTCGACGACCTTGACGGCCTCGTCGGGCGAGCAGCAGTGCACCTCGTGCAGCACCTCGGACTGGCCCGCGGGCAGGTCGGCGCGGTAGACGGGGTACGTCTTTGCCGTCTTGAACGGCTGGTTGTTGAGCACGCACGGCAGCGGCGAGGACCCGATGAAGTCGACCATATTGGCAGCAGGTGGCGCGGGGTCAAGGGCAAGCAGGGGCAGCAGCGGTTGTGCGAGCAGGGAGCAGTGTCGAATAAGCAAGTGGTCGGCGGGGTGCGGTTGGCAAGGCAATCTACCGATGGGAGCAAGGGGTATCCGATGGACGAGGGGCGGGCGATTAAATATGGGCTGGGGCAGGATAGAGGAGCAGGGAGAACAATCCGATGGCGTCGACGGTGGGGATGAAGGGGCGAGGGAGGTCTTCCGTCGACCCCGCCGAACGCGGACAAGCCCATTCATTTGCTTATATACGCCCCGAGGCCGCGATTTCCCCAAATGGCCTCGAGCTGCGCTCCGCTGCTTCCGCTCCGCTTTGCTTGGCTTCGTGTGACGCTGCAGCCAGGCGAGGCCCCGGCCTTTGAAGCTCGTGCGAGGGTCGCCCGCCTCGTGCCTTAGCTTGCGCCTCCACAGTCGACTGCGGCCGTCCGACGTCGCACGCCAGTCACAGCCGCAAGGGGAGTACCGGTCTGATGTGTCGCCCGCCAGAGTGATCCGCCTGGCAAGCTGTTATGCCACGCTCCACTATCTGTTCGGATCTCGAGCCGCCGTCGAACAAGGTTCTCGCCATGCCGTCCTTAGCGTGCGGACGTGCGTGTGGCTTGCGGTGCACAGGCGTACCTGGCTTCCCGGGGCTAGGCCATGGCCGAGGAGGCCAGGCGCTGCCATCCTCGGCAGAACCGTGGGTGGCTGCGCGCGGCGGAGTTAAGCGACCATCTCTCTGGCGGCGAGGGGTGCGCACGGTTCAATCGTCGAAGCATTGCCCAAGCTCGGATCCGATAATTCCAGCCCTGGCGAATCCAGCCCCGGCGCCGGCCTCCGGAAGCGGGAAGGCGGAGACGCCGTCGGCCTGTCTCGGTCCTTCTGCCTCTGGTTGAGCCCGCTGGGCGGCCTGTGCATGCTGCAGCAGCTTTCCTTCCCGTCTGTGCCTCTGAACCCTGGCTGGCCGGCCCTGATTTTTGGTCTCGAACCCCCAACGTTGGGGTGGTTGCGAGCCTCTTTGGACGCCACGGCGACCTCGAGACCACGACTCGCAGCTCAGTTCGGAATCGATCCACATCTCGTCCCCAGGCCTGCTCGTTAGCGTTCGACCACCATCACCAACCTCTCTGCCACGCTGCCACGCTCGCTGACTTTGCCACGCTCGCTAGACGATCCGCCAACAGGCCGCCGGACCGCCGCGCAAAAACACGTCAGGCATCGCCCGCCCTCACCACCGTCGCTGGCCATGACGCTACCCCACGTTCCAGCCGCAGCGGCGACTGCCTCGCACTCGAGCTCCAACGGTGACTCTCACTCGACGCGCAGCGGCACCCCGCAGCCCGCACCGCGGGCGTCCGGCTCCTACTACGTCCGCAGCACCGACCCGTCGCTCGAGAGCCTCATGACGTGGGTCTACATCCAGTCGACGGTGGCATCGGGCGACCTCGACGACCTGTTCCGTGCGCAGCGGTGCGAGGACGAGTACCGGCAGTGGGCCGTCCCCATCCGCAAAAAGTGGGGCGGCCTCGAGGCCTACATCCGCGACGTTCGGCTGGGCTGGCGGCCGCAGCAGCAGGTCGTCGACGAGTCCGACAGCCTCGATGCCGATCAGAAGGTCCGGCTGCGCGAGACGTGGCCGCAGGCCGAGATGCCCCATCCGGACGGCAGCGGCACCATCCTGCGCCACTTTATCGATGACCCCAGACTGGCTGACCCCGGGGCGAGCGACGACGGCGAGGCGGTCGTCAAGTGCATCCCAAACGACTGGCCCTATGCTGTGCCGGACGACGTCGAGCACTGGGTCGTATGGTGAGCAGCGCGGCGCGGCGCAGCGCTCTCCCGTCCAACCCGGCGAATGGCGATGCAGCGCGCGCTCCTCTTTGACTGACTCCTGGCGCCCTTGCTCTCCCTCTCTTGTTCCCGGCTCTCGCTGCACAGGTCCAAGCTGCCCATTCTGCACGCCTCGCTCTTTTCCGACCCGGCGACGCCGTTCCCCGCAGCGACGATCCCTTCGGTGTACAGCTGCGTCCTCAACGACGGTGTGCGCGGGTGCACGGGCACCTCGACCGAGCTCGGCGCGCCGCGCGTGTACGGCAACCTGACGAAGCGCTCGACGTCGCTGCACCTGCGCAACTCGGCCGAGGCGGCGGTGGGCACGGGCGAGCCGAGCGGCGGGCCCGACGGCGTGACGCTGGACCAGTCGGCCGAGGGGCAGCGGTGGGCGTCGCGCGAGATTTCGCGCTTTGTGCGGCGGATGTGGGCCGAGGAGCGGTACGAGACGGTGTTCTTCTGCAACCCGCCGCACCTGCGCACCGTTCCCGGCCTCAGCCACTTTCAGTGAGTGCCAGCAGGTAGTCGCGAGGGCCTACGAAGATTAATCGCTGCGAGCGGTACCGGCATCACGATGTGCTGACGACGTTTGTCTGGGCCCCGCCTCTCCCCTGCGCAGCGTATTTGTGAGGCCCAAGGTGGATCGACCGGCGGCATAAACGGCCGACGGCCAGACGACGAGGATCCCCAGAGCATGCATCGCCTCCGTCTGTCCGTAGATTGAACTAGAGGTCGACCTAGATGGCATCGCAACATAGACAGATGTGCAGAGCACCAGCTCGCGACCAGCCCGGCCCCAGCCGAACGATGGGCAGTCGGTCGAATTGGCTGCTGAGGCAGCGCGAGGAGCGGTATCGACGCCCAGGTAGGGGAGCGGGCCAAAGGGATCAGCCGCTGCAGGTTGTCTCGGCGGTCACCGCTAGGGTCCCTACCTGCCCTCCGCCGCCTGCTTGCTGCTTGCACCCTGGGCGAGGCTGCGCTGCGCTGCGCCGCGCTGCGCCACCCCGCCTAGCCTGGCTGCGAATTTGACGAAATGACGCAGCCTCGCCTGTCGAGTTGATTGAATTGCGACACACGTGCCGGGCTCGTGCTGCCAGGCCAGGCCGGGATGGCTGCGCCCACACCTCGGCGGTGGGGCGCTTTGCAACATGACAGCGATCCCCCGACACCCGAGACGTCGGGTTGTCCGTCTATCTCCTCGCTCTTCGCGCCCATGCGTGGCCTGCCCAGACACCTCAGCCGCGATCCTCGGCCCCTTCGGCCATGCCCGGCCCATGACGACAAACGATGCGGTCGGCTGAAGATGGGGATCTCAACTCCAGCCCCGCACCCTCGCGCTCTGGGGCGGGCAGCGGGTTAGCCGTCCCTCGACCACTGAATCTTCCCTCTTCGACACCACCACCACCACCACCACCTCGCCGCTGGCCGTCGCGCCGCTCTTCCGCCCCCTAGACCTCGTCCTCCTCGACTCAGACCTCGCCGCCTGCCGTCGCCGCCGCCGCCGCGCACCATGTCGCAGACACCCTCGGGCCACATCGACTATCGCACCTCGGCCCACCTCATCTTCTACGGCCCCACCCTGCCCCACCTCGAAAACCTCATCACACCCTCCCGCCACCCGCAGACGCTCGACAGCGGCTGGCGCGTCTACCTCGTCGTCGCCCTCCGCCTTGCCTACCTCGTCTGCATCGTCGTCCCCGTCCACGTGGCCCTGACGCTCCTCAGCTTCGCGCGGTGCAGCCGTCGACGCTGGCTCGACCACGCATACCCGCCATCGCGCCTGCCCGCACGCCAGCCCAGCTGGACGCTCCTCCGCACCTTGGCCGTGCCCCTGTCCTACTCGATCCTCTGGGCCGTATCCTACGGCGCACCACGCCGCGCAGACGGCCGCTACGAGGGCGCGGCCAGGCATACACGCCTCAATCGCCTCGGCATCTCGTATCAGGGCTGGAGGATCGACTGCGAGGCCGTCGTCATCCCGCCCCTGCCCCTCCCTCGACCCACCGCCAAGCCAGCGCCGCCGCCGCCCAACGGCAAGGCGCACCCCGACGACCGGTCGGAAAAGCAGGAGGGCCAGCCCGGGCCCGAAAACGGCCACCCGCCACGTTTCGACGACGCACCAACTGAGGACGCATCCGAGTTGCTGCGCCACCGTCGACCTCGCCCGGCGCCGCAGCGGGTGCCGACCCAGGAAGCCGTCGGGTACGAAGACGACGAGCGTGTCCCCCCGGACGTGCTGCGGGGCGATGTGGCAGGGCAGCGCTTCGGCGTCGAGCCACGGCCGTGTCCGGCCTTCTGGCTTTGGAAGACGCACGCGGCCGAAGTCAAGCACGGCAAGGTGACGGCCGTCAAGCCGGGTTCGTCGCAGGCGGGCATCGGGTGCGGTCCGGCGCTGGGGCCCGACGAGCGCGTCGTCCTCTACCTCGTAGGCGGCGCCTACGTCCAGGGCCACCCGCTGCTCTCGTCGATTGCCGCCTCAGTGTGCCGCACCACGTCGCTGCGCGTGCTGTGCGTAAACTACCGCAAGGCCACATCCGACGACCGCGCCTTCCCCGCCGCGCTCCAGGACGCCTTGGCCGGCTGGGTGTACCTCACCAAGCGCCTCGGCTTCCGGCCGCGCAACGTCGTCCTCCTCGGCGACTCGGCCGGTGGTGGTCTGTGCACCAGCCTGCAGATCTACCTGTCGGCCCTCATGTTTTCCTCGCGCCTCGACCATGGCCGCCGTCGCCGCCGCAGCTGCGACCTGGGACGGGCGCGCAAGCTGGTGCTGCACTCGTCGTGGACCGACCTGACGCTGCGCAGCCCGCAGCTCGTCGAGCACGCGCGCTACGACATCCTCAGCCCGCACAAGCTCTCCGAGGCGCGCGACGCCTACCTCCGCCACGTCCTGCCCATCCCGGGACGCCGCAACGCCATCGTCGACCCTCTCCTCGACGCCGCGCCGCTGGGCAAGGGCGCCATCAAGGACGTGGCGGAACGGTACGACGTCGACTCCCACCCCGTCGGCAGCCCGGCCTACTATCGCCACCTCGCCCGGCTCGCCGAGGATCTGCCCGAGACGATTGTCCGGCTCGGCGCGTTTCATCCCCTCTTTTCGCCGGGCATAGCCGTGCGTGAGAACGAGTACCTGCGCAAGGCGCTGCACCTCCTGGGCCCCCCTCCCCCTCGTCTGCGCTCCTCCTCTTCCTCCTCGTCGTCGGAGGATGACGAAAAAGACACCAATGACGAAGAATACGACGACGACGACAAGATGGAAATGCTGCTAACCGTCGGATCCATCGAGGTATTCCAGGACCAGATCCACGCCTTGGCCGACAACCTGCGTTCCCTCTCCTCCTCCTCCTCCTCCTCCTCGTCCTCTGCAGAGACGGGTGAACAGGGCGGGGCACCGCCTCCGCTGTCCAACGTATCTGTCTCGGTCGTAGAGGGTCTGGGCGAACACCACGTCTACCCCATCGCGCGCATCCACGACCGTACCGTCGACCAGGTCAACGCACTCGTCCGCGACTTTATCACGGCCTAATCAGGCTCTTCCCGTCCTGGCATCTTTCCTTCCTTCTCGCCGTTTAGCTGGCCGTCTAGCTGGCTGGCTGTCTGGCAAGCTCGTCGGCGCAGGTTCGGCCGACGGGCTCTGAGAATACCGCATGTGACGTATACCATAGACGCCCAGAAACTGGACTTCTCTTCGATCCCTTGAGCCCGGCATCGTACGGCCCCAACCTCTACGGCTGTCCCTCTTCTCGGGCGGCCACCTTGGACAAGATGCGGCGTCAGCGTCAGAGCGCCGACTCACCAGACGCCTCGATGGCATCTCCCGCCTCGTCTGTTTGGGCCGTCCTCGCGATGTCGTGCGATGCCAGACCATCGCGTTCTCGTCCACGTGCCCCCGACTCTCACACACAGTCACCGCCCCGTGGGCGGGCGAGGGAGCAGGCACAAGGGGGACGTCTTCATACATCCCATCCCACGCGCGTTCTACGTCGGCTTAGCGTACACTCGTCGTCGTCGTCGTCGTCGTCGTCGTCCTCGTCTCCAGTATCGACGACGCCGCTCCTCCGGCGCACCTCGTCGCCTCACGCTCCGGGCCTCTTGAGCGGCACAGGTCCACCCGCCGCCCGCTGCTTCTTGGCCGCGGCGGCCGACGGCGCGCCGGCGCCCG